AAGTTCAGGGAATATGATGATAAATAAGATTGTGCCTTTGAGTAACTGTGAGTGGTCATCATTCCTTCCTGCATGCCTATCCTGCAGTGTGATTTGCTCTCAGATGAATTGTTGAAATACAGGGTGGTCAGTGAGGAGTGTGGCTCATTGGTACTATCACCACCAAAATACTGGCTTCAATTATTATTGAAAGATTCCTCTTTTGTCAAAGTTAAAATACAAACATAATTTTAAAATTCTCTTCATTTCAAGATGAAGATGGAACCAGCTTGAATTCATCTATCCTGGCAGCCCTCCGAAAAATGCAGGATGGCTATTTTGGTGGGGCAAGGTAAGTAATCTCTCCAGAGTCTTTAATCGAATAAAATGAGATTTGGGCTGAGTATGGCAATGGCAGAACTGTGATGCCTTTCTGTATATCTTCAACAACATAATCCCATCCAACTCGGAGGAGCCAATCTTTGACAGGTTGGATCAAGGAATTAATATTACAGAGGAGGGTTGGTAGTTGTTTCACTTTGTTTTGATTTTTTTCCCCCTAGCCAGAAAACCAGTTGCCATTGAGTTGATTCCAACTCATGTGTGTCAGAGTAAATCTGTGCTCCATAGGGTTTTCAGTGGCTGATTGCTCTTTGCCTAGCCCTCATAAATTCAGTGGGCCAGAAAACTTATTCTTTAAAAAAAAAAAAATTACCAAAATGTTCAATTCTGAATTTTTTTTTCTTTCCCCTAACTTTTTATTTTGAAAAATCTCAAGCTTACAGAAATTTGCAACAATAGTAATAAGCACACATATACCCTTCTTCAAGATTTACTTGTTAACATTTTTCCCATTTTTGTGTTCTTTCTCTCTCCTTTTCTCCCTTCCTCCTGTCTGCTCCCCTTCCTCTCTCACACACATACATATGCATTCACGCACTATATATAATATATACATATGCACACATATACTCTTTTGTTGAATCATGAGAGTTTGTAGACATCATGACTCTTCAGTCTCTGTCTTCTAAGAACAAGGGCATTCTCATACATAACCACAATATAATCATCACACTCAGGAAAATTAATATTGATAAGATACTATTATCCAATACAGAGTCCATATTAAAAATTACCCAATTGTCCCACTTATGTTTTTCATAGCATCCTCTGCCCCAGTCCCGGATTCAATCAAAGATCACACATTGGCATTTTGTTGTTGTTAAGTGCCGTCGAGTTGGACCTGACTCATAGTGACCCCTCCTTGGGTTTCC